ATGTGCGGTGGCGGAAGGTTACGAGGGAGGCGTGGCGTGGGGGGCCTGGTTGGACGGAGGAGGGGCTGGCAGGTGGGCGGGATTGGGAGGCGGGGCGGGGCGGGGTGGCCCCAGCAGGGAGGGGTAGTGTGAGGGGGGCGTTGCCAAGTGTGTGGTGGGCGGGACCTAATTATACATCTGCTGACAGCTGATAGTGGTAATAGAAGCCAGAGGCACAGTCCTGAAGGAGCTTCTCCTACGGGCCTCTGATTGAACACATGCTCCGAGTCACAGTGGGACTTGAAACGTGCAGTGTCGTCCACAGGGATCTCGTTGATAACCTAAAATGTGTAAGGTCAAGTAATGATGCCGTTACCTCATAGTAGTGATGGTGACTGTTATTAAGGCCCTAATATAAGCTAGTCTCTTCATGCTGCATAGGTGTGCAGCACAGTAAAACTTCTGGAATTGCATCACTGGCTATCACATGGCAAAAATAGAATTTCAGCTCATTTTTCTGGGTGGTGTCTATATCATTGTTTCACAAGGTTTCCATAGAAAATATCTGTAGATGTACTGTTTTCCAAAATGACATTAGTTGATCTGTAATTGCCATGAACTCTGAGGTTGAGTTCTCTGCTTCATTTTTGTAAAATATGTAGAAAATTAATAATGTGAGAATTAACAGAGATGCTGAAAGTAAGGTGCTAAGCACTATAGGAGGCACGTAATTAACAATAAATAGTACTATTTTCTTAGCCATTTTCTTCCTCCAGTTTCTACCTGCAGTGTGTGTACCTTGACTTTAAAAGGGTGGCCGGTGCAGCAGAGCTATTAAGTGGGAAATTGGGGTCTTGAATTTCTCAGCCCCAAGTCCTGTGTTTTTACTATTTTGCTCTGCTTATTAGAGAAGTTTCTGAGACACAGACTCAGAGATGACTGCACACCCATTGACATGACCTCACTGGGGGAAGGCTGTGATTACAGCCCACAGTACAGCGTACACCCCAGGGGGTGAGATTGATGACCCATCCACCCTGTGGGAGGTAAAGATGAAATTGTGTGGGGTCATTTCCAGCCTGGGAATTCCAGGATTCGGAGAATAAATTTGAGGTCTCATGTTTTCTTTTCCTTCCCCAGCTCTGCTCTCTTCTTCTCCGAGGTGATCGGCGGGAGGAAGAGGGACTCGGTCCAAACGCCAGGTGTCTGGGTGCAGGTGAGCTGAAGTCCCTTCTGACAACGTCACGCCATCCTGGGGATGAGCATGTGCTCCCTGAGCCTGACACTTCCCTGCTGCACACACGCTCCATCTGACCGCAAGCACCGTTCGTGCTCGCTAAGAGTGTGCAGACTGTTCCGGTGGACCATGTGTTCACCAGATTCTCCTTGGTCTCACGCCATCCTTTGGGGTGTCCAGACTCTTTTCCCAGCACTCAGCTACTCCTTCAGGCCTGCCCTTTCTTATTGGGTAGTTAAGGAAGTCTGAGAAATTCATTGAGTCTTCTATCAGTCATGACCCTGAGTGGGAAAGGAAGTGATTCCTTGGAGCTCATAGTCTTTTGGGTAATGAAAGACATTGAAAAAAGTAAGGCTGTGTGCAGAGACAGGCAGGAGAATGGAGCGCATGAGAGAAGAGTGCGTGCCCTCTGCTGCCCCTGAGATGAAGGCAGTAACTTCAATTCCAGCCCCTCTGATAAGGTAGGGAGCAGGAGACAGGGCCTGGGTCTCAGAGCTCCATGACGAGGCCCCAAAGTGAGCAAGTGGGACTGGGCTTGGAGACCACACGACGGAGCTGCTGGCACTCCTGGTGGGATGTGGGGAGCCTGGGGTCCCAGGGGGCCACGGACTGCCTTGCTTCTCCTCCCATGGCCCAGCCAGCGATCCAGCCCCCAGTAGTCGAGTTCCTCCCCGTGCAGTTCAACAGTTGACCCACTGATCTTTGATTGAGGCCAAAGACCCCCACCGCCACCCCTGACCTGTGACAGGAACATGTGGTGAGTTCCAGCTTTGTTTCAGGTACATTAATTGTGAGGCTGTGTTTTCATTTTCTGTGCATTTTTATGAAGTAGAAGTAAAGGACTGTAAGATATTCAAAGAGTGGCCCAAGTACCCCACATGGACCACAGGGGCAGCGCTATTGGCCTGCGGGCAGCCCTGCTGTGCCATGGTGGGATGACCCGGCTCAGCGCTGAGCTCCATCTGCACACAGTGCTCACAGCGCACAGGCTTCACGCTCATTGTCCAGTGTGTTTGAGGACAGCTGAGCTGGAGCCCCGTAAACCCCTCTGCCTGGTTAGGTGGTGATACCTCGTCCTGACCGTCTGCCCTTGTTCATCTCCTGTCCACCCCACCCGCAGAGCTGATGCCCCCCTTGGCCCTACAACCAGAGATGGCCTGAGTCCCAACTCTGTGTGACCCCACCCTCGCCCCCATCCTCTGAATGTGGTCAGACCTTGACTTTTAAAATCCTGCCCTTGACCACTGCTCAACTCACTCTGGGATTCCTGCTCCAGAGAGAGTGTGGTGGGGGCCTGGTAACTAGGGCCAGTGAGAGCCCACCTCCAGGCCTGGAAACCACACTGGTTCCCTCGGGGCCAGAGTTCAGGGAGGCAGAGGGGACAGCAGGTGGCGATGTCAGGGTCTAGGCGGGGAGCCCCAGCAGTGCTGTTCTGCCCTGAAGGATATGTCGGGGGGGGGGGGGTAGGGGGTTGCTCCATGGAGCACTGCAGGTGGGAGAGGGAGGGAGCCACAGGAGGAGGGGCTACTGTGGGCACTGGCCGACAGAAAGGAGAGGAAAGCCCCACAGCTGCTGAGCTTACTTCAAATTTATATTCAAATTTTTTTCTGATTGTGAACTTCAAATAACATTTTAACTGAAATGTATAATAAAGTGTCTTAATCATTTCCTTTTTCAGTTTTCCCCACTTTACTAATGGTCTTTATACAAGTTTTATTTATGTAGTTGTTTGGCCCACTGTGTGGCATGCAGGATCTGAGTTCCCTGACCAGGGATCAGACTTGTGCCCCCTATAGTGGAAGCACAGAGTCTTAACTACTGGACCATCAGGGAAGTTCCCAGTTTATATGGAAGTTTGCTTCTACCTTGGTTTGTACGCACCTCCGTACATTTAAGTACCTATGTAGCTTTTTTTATTTTAATAAGACTATGCCCAATTCATTAAGGCTTCAAACTCAGGCCACCAGAGTGAAGCGTAAGTGGGGTGTTAGGCAACATTTGGTTGGGGGTGGGGCGTGATGTGAAAGTTGGTACCTTGTGTCCATTACATTTATGTGGGTGTGTTTCTGTGTGTGGACATGACTTTGTGCAGCTCTTTAGCAACAGCCGTAAGAATTTCAGTATAAACACGCTTCCATTTATAGCTTTGCTTTCTAAAACTGCATTTTATGTTACTTAAAATAGCAATGTTGTCAAATGTTGTCAGAAAGGTGAATAGCAAAGTAGATCAGAGTACATCTATATAAATGGAATCTTATGGAAAAAAAAAACAAAAAAAAAAACTGCATTTTATTCCATGTGGGGACATCTTTATCATTTTCTGTGTACAAATAAATGAGTATGTTTGCAGTAAGAATGCCAGATACGCTATATACCATTTCATACCCTAGTATTTTCATTTAATGCTTTAAACAGTTTTTACATTAGTCATTTCCATCAAGTGTGAATTGACTGTATCCATAGAAAGTCTGACTGTGTGGCCTTTAGAAACAATGACGTAAATCTATATGTACTGATTGGAAAGGTGTCTATCAAAAATTACTGCGTTTAAAAATACACACAGAGAGAGAGCCCCTGGTGTGATCTCATTTTGTTAGAAACGATGTAATATGTGTAGAGACTATGAAAGGTTTAGTGTAGGAACAAATGGGATCGAGGTGTGTGGCTTGCAGTTTCAAGGGGGTGTGGCTCAGCAGTCAGAGTAGTGTGTGTTTGCTTCAGGAGGGAGTTTGGTCTGGAGTTCCGTAGCTCTCTCTTTGTCTTAGATTTCTTAAATCATTCAGGTTTCATAGCAGAAACTCAAAAGCTCTCTACCTCCTGTCTCTGGTTGGTTTATATGATGGGGGAGTGGGCCCTCTCTTGAAGACGATACCTGAAGGCCTTGCCCACAGCATGGTCTCAGTCCACAGCCACATGGAGAATGAATTCTCTGACACTGTTGACACTTCTTCTGTGTTGATTTGTCCATGTATCTCTTTCTTTAAAATGTCTGCAGGTGCCTGGCATTTTGACTGTGTTCCTGTGGATAGCTACTTGTTCAGAAGTTCCGGAAGGGACCCTGTTCCCACCAGGTGATTTACATACCCAGGGGTGTCCCGTGGCCTCTTGAGAGGTGGGGCCGTGGCCATTTAGGGGAGCGAGTTCTCTGAATCGGAGGCCATGGAGAGACCGGGGCTCACTGCTTTGTCCCCCCCAGGCCCACGGGCTCTGAGGGCCCTGCTCTGGTCAGGCAGTCCCTCTTCGCCAGGCTCCAGGTCAGCTCACGGCAGCTCTCCAGAGCCTGGGGGCTTGCCCAGCAGGCTGTCACCTGGCACCCTGTCTGCTGTGGAGGAGAGGAGGGCAGGGCAGGCAGAGCGGGAGTGGCGGAGGCAAGGGTCTGCCCAGCTGGTGGGCAGGGCGCTACAGAGAGAGTGGGGGTGTGTGCAGGGGCAGAGCGAGCCCACCACAGTGAGGCATTCATGCCCCAGTCAGGAAGGCTGCTGTAAGACTAAATAATTGAAACCCCTTTTGTTTTCTCTTTAGACATTAAAAACAATTTTTTTTAAACTTACTGGTTTTCCTTTTAAAACAAAAACGAATTTTTGCTGCATGTGGTTTTGTCCTTCTCTGGAAGTAAAGTCAGAAGTACAAAACTGTCAGGTAAGTTACTGCACCCCGGCCTGGACTTCTTTGCTGTGCCGCCCGCTTCCTGCTGTAGCGTGGCTGACCTCTGAGGACAAGGCGGGGCCGGAGGGCTCGTGGGCCGCCGAGTGGCCCAGGTGGAGGGGGTGAGGGGCCTCAGCTGATGACACCAGAGCGAGAGGAGGACAGGGCGTCAGCTTTTACACTCGGCCCGAGAAGTCCTCTTAGCAGGGTGCGGGCAGACCCTAGAATAGAGCCGCAGCGACGGGAGGGTGAAGGGAGTAGCAAGTTGGTTTCTCTGGAGACCTCTGGATCTCAGACGAGGCTGGCCAGAGCAGGAGGAGGTGCAGGGCATGCAGAAGCCTGCTGGCTGCTTGGGCATGTCATCACCACTGATGTGAGTAGTAGATGTGGGGTTCCCACGGACTCAGTGGCGCTCCATCTGACCTTCTGCCGGCTTGCTGAGCTGGGCACCGGGGTCTGAGCTCCACGGAACGCCGGCGGGGCCGGTGTTGACCCCTGACTTTCCCAGTGAGGGAAGCATCTGTCTTTGATCCATTCACAGTGGGGCCCAGGCCAGTTGGCTCAGATATTTAAGACGAAATTCGAGAACTGCCCGGAATACCAGTAGATTGCCCTCCGTTTGGGCACCAGAGGCAGTGGTGCAAACAGGGGCCCAGGGCTGCCCTCAGGGCTCACGCTGTGGAGAAGGCATGCCTGCTGCCCGCAGACGTAGGGCAGCCACCCGGCCGGTGTGGTGGGGACGTGGCTAGTGTGACAGAGGAGCTGAGCTGCTGATTTCAGGGGCCCTTAGCTTGGCCAGCACGTGTTGCACATGCAGAGCGCAGGCGCAGAGAAGTTGCCCAGAGCACTTGAAGCCCTGGACCACCGCGGTCACATGTGTGTGTGGCTTTCCTGTGCTGTACACTGAGGCACGTGGGTCCATGGCCCCGGGTCTGCCGAGAAGGGACAGACTGCAGGATTCGGGCTCCGAGGCCCAGGGTCGCAGAGGCAGTCAGGAGCAGGGCGCAGTCCTCCCACTGCAGGCGTGCTGCTTGCGACTCCTCGCATGTGTCTGTGTGTCGGGGGTGTGGTGCGGTGCCCGCCCTGGGCCTGTCCTCCCACCGGGCGGGCCCCAACCCCTGGGACATGTGTGTCTCCTTACGATCCGCAGGTCCCTGAGCACTGACTGCCCCTGCTGCCGCATCTGCCCTGTTGGCGCATGTTGGGTTCCTCCAGTGAAACTTTTCCTTAGAGACATGCTGCCTCCCAAGTCCTTGTCCGCCACCAAACCCAAGAAGTCTTGGGCCCCAAACCAGTATGAGCTAGACAGTGACTTGTCTGAGCCGGACGCCGTCCCAGGAGAAGGCGCCACTGACTCTGAGTTCTTTCATCAGAGGTTTCGGAACTTCCTCTACGTGGAATTCCTTGGGCCTCGGAAGACCCTTCTCAAACTCCGAAACCTCTGCCTCGATTGGTTGCAGCCGGAGACTCGCACCAAGGAGGAGATAATCGAGGTCTTGGTCCTGGAGCAGTTCCTGACCATCCTTCCGGAAAAGATCAAGCCTTGGGTGCAGGCAAGAAAGCCAGATAACTGCGAAAAGCTTGTTGCTCTGCTGGAAGATTACGAGGAGATGTACGAGCCGGAAGGTGAGCCAAGGGGAAGGCGGGGCCCCCACTGCTCTGGCAGGATTGTTCTGGGGGGCCGGGGTGGGGGGGCTGGATGTGGCAACCCCGGCCTTTCTGCCCGCAAGGGGCCGGGGGTGGTGGAGAGGGGCGTGGCGGGCGCCCTCAGGGGCTAAGCTAATGGGTGAGCATGGCTGAGGCCCTGAGCCGTGTCTGCTGTCCCTTCAGACGACAACAGCAGCGACACCCACAGCGAAGGCGGAGTGAGCCGGAGGGCCGCGGAGTCCCCGCCACCGCGCCCCGCCCTCCCCTGCTGTGGTGAGTAGCTGCCCACCACCGCGGGGTCTGCGCACAGCCCTTTGCTGGGGCCCTGCTGCTGCTGCTCGGTGATCTGCGGCGGGGGATTCTGGGTTGGCGGAATGAGACGTTTTCATCAGAGCAGACACATCCATGGAGTGAAATACAACTTTTTATTGTTCAATGATGAGGGAAACATTTAAAATTTTGAAGCTATTTGGAATTTGCAGTAGGTTGTTTCAGGTTGTGCCCACAGCCTCTGGGAGGCGAAGTTCATCGCCACTTTGCCTGCACAGCTGTTCGTTTGTTCAGGGTTCTCCAGACAACTTTCTGAAGCAGCAGTGCTCTGGGGATGGTGCTCTATCTCTCTATAGTCAAGTGGGGAGCACGTTAAGATGGGCCGGGGTTGGCTAGGCTGTGGAGGGTTGGCAGATGGCCCTCCTGAAGGCTTAGACCGCAGGAGCCGGGACACCGGGAGAGCCTGAAGCAGGAGCAGGCCCCCCGAGAGGGCATCGGCCTGACCGAGGCCAGGCCAGCCTGCGCGAGGCCCCGGAAGTGGGTCCAGGCCACAGCAGCAGGCCCAGCCCCGGTGTCGGGGGCAGCTGCCCTTCGGTATGGTCCCCGGCTCCCAGGTGAGAGCGGTGTGGAGGGGTGTGCAGAGCACGTGGTCAGCCCCGCACGTTTGCATCCACAGGTGACCAGGACCGGGACCGGGACTGGGACCAGGACTGGGAGCGAGACCGGGAGCGAGGCCGGGCGCGGGAGCGGGAGCGCCGCCGCGGCCGGAGCCGGGACATGGGGTCACGGGACCGCTGGCCGTCCGTCCGGAGCCCCAGGAGCAGTACGTGTCCCTGCGACGGCCCCCCCACTCGCCCTCCCACCTGCTGTGCCGCGTCCATTCACGCCACCTCTCCCTTCCCAGGGTTTCACCAGCGGGACCTCGCCCTTCCTCTGGCGGAGAGAGCCAAGGAGAGAGAGCACAGACGCAGGGACTCCCTGCTGGATTTGGACGCCAGATCCGAGGTGCGCCCAGGTTTCCTCTCGTTCTGGGAGGGCCGTCTTCACTCCATGTTGGAGGTGCCTTTCTTTCTCGGGAGTCTGAGTTATCTGCCACGTAGAAGCCCACCAGGGTTGGGGAGAGAGCCCAGGGGTGACCAGTGGCCGCAGTGACTGCTGCCTGCTTTCCAGCTCATTCACGGGGTCAGCACTCGTGTCCCCTGGCGGTCTGCTGTCCCATGCACAGAGCAGAGGGAGAGGGCGCTCAGGTCCCGGAGCCGAGAAGAGCTGAGTCTGCAGCCTGGCTCTACCACCTGCCAGCCCGCTAGCTGCACCAAGCCTCAGTTTCCTCATCTGTGAAATGGGTGTGACAACAGCCTCAGCAGGGCTGTTGTGAGGGGTGCACGGTGTGCGGCCTGGCACGCAGGGGGCACGCTGTCACTCCAGCCCCTGTGCACTAGGGACAGGGGCACAGGCGAGGAGGGGCTCGAGAAAGATGGCCGGATGCGGCGTGGCCCTGTGGAGGAGGGCACCCGTGCAGCCGCGTGAGAGAGCGGGCCCTGTGTAGGGCTGCCCGGTGGTCGGGCCAGCTCGAGTCAGCAGCGCGCTCTTCCCTGGGAACAGTGTGGTCCAGAAGGCACTGCGTGCTTGTGTCACTCAGATCCGACCAACAGCAAGGCGTGGGAGGCGCCGTTTCCTTCTGCCGTTGCCTGGGGGGTCTGCTAGCACCAGCGGCGGTGCCCTGTGGCGCCCTTGGCCCCCCAGCTTCTCGACCTCATCTGCTCTCTGCCGGCCCTGAGCTAGCAGCTCCGGCTTCCTCCTGCCCCATGGCAGACACGCCTGTGCCCCGCCCACCCCACGGCGTCTCCTGCCCTGTGGCAACTCGGGGAGGCCTTAGGAGGGGGCGCCGTCCGCCCTGAGTGCCCCTGGATTCCGCAGCCTTGGCCTGGCGAGGGGTTCGCTTCCGAAGCCCTGCTTCGTTTTGCCAGGGGTTTTGTTTCTAATTCTGGACTCGGGCACTTGTGTGAAGGAGGCTTCCTCCCCTTCAACCCCGCCGCCTGTGCTTGTTGGGTCTTCTTGGTGGGAGCTGTGCCTGACTGTGCCCGCGTCATTTTGTTCTCTTTGCTGCACTTGCACATGGCTGTCATGTCTTGTGCCGCTCCTGGAACCCTGGCAGATTTAATGTCAAATATCTTTACACAATAGTTCAGTAGTGACAACAACTTGTTTTCTTTACATAATTTTTTTTGTTTTACTTTTTGGCCCAGCCACATGGTGTGTGGGGTCTCAGTTCCCTGACGAGGGACTGAGCCCACGCATCCTGCAGTGGAAGCCCAGGGTCTTAAGTGCTGGCCCGCCAGGGGAGGCCCACGCAGTCTTCCTGCACACTTAGCCCCACTTGCAGCAGACCACATGGCGGGACGTGCACACCTACTGTTAACCCCTCAGTACTTCGCCCCAGGTCAGCGGCCCACGTGACAGGACCCCAACAGCGTGAGGGGGGCAGGTGGACACCCTCCTCTCCATTTCACAGATGAGGTCGCTGAGGTTTGGGAGGACTTCTGTTCCCAGCTTGCTCGGTCGTGAAGGTGCTTGAGCTCCTCTGACCCTGGCATTCCTCTGGCTCCGTGCCCCTCCCGGGGCCTCAGCAGTGCCCCTGGCCCCACCCACACATGCGGGTCTTGCTCACCCCCCAGCCCACCCTGAGCTGTCCCCCTGCCATGCCCGCTTAGCGCCGACTCTCTGCACCCCACTTTGTTGTTTACTGTTCTCTGATTGTTTCTCTCCAACCAAATGATAAGCTGCATGAGGGCAAGGAATATGTGCCCTCCGTCTTTGGGAGCTTCCTCAGAGTGTAGCGCCAAGGTAGGTACGACGTAGGTCCCTAGTAGAGCCTGACCAGACCACTCGGAGCCCCCAGCGCTGCGAGCACTTGCTGCACACTGTGTGTGTGTGTGGCTCCCGCGCCACCGGCGCGGTCCTGGCCGCGGGCACCTGGGCAGACCCCACTGACGACACGTCTGCTGTTGCAGGAGGCGGTGTTGTACCAGGACATGGTGGCCCTCACTGAGGATCACAAACCCCAGAACCCGATTCAGGACAACATGGAGAACTACCGGAAGCTGCTCTCACTGGGTGAGTGCTGAAAGAGGGGTCACGCGGCTCCTGGCGGAGCAGGAGTGGGAGGGAGTGGTCCTGTGACCTGCTCCGGCGGGGCTGTGCCCACACGACTGTCACCCCAGAGTGCTGCCCTGCGACTCCAGTCTGCTTTGAGGCAGGTCTGCAGTCCTGGGTGGCTTCCCCAGGGGACACGTGGTTGGGTCTGAGGCGGCAGTGGGCCCGTGAGGGGTCGTGCGGGCCGTGACAGGTGGGGAAACCTGTGGAGCCAGAGAGCCAGCAAGGACTCCCTGGGTTTAGGGGCACTCAGAGGCCTCTGCACAGTCTTGTCAGCAGAGCCTGGGGAATTAACCAAGAAGAGATGGGCAAGGGGCCAAGGAATGGACAGTGAGGAAAGGAGAAAGAGACACAGGCCATCCAGGGCACGCTCAGCGCCCGAGAGAAAGC